ACTACTACTACTACTCCTGCTACTACTACTACTACTACTACTACTGCTGCTACTACTACTACTACCCCTACTACTACTACTACCACCACGACGACGACTACTACTACTACTACTACTACTGCGACTGCTGCTACTGTTACTACTACTACTACTACTACTTCTACTTCTACTACTTCTGCTGCTGCTGCTGCTACTACTACTACTACTACTACGACGATGACTACTACTGGTAGTATGTGTATGTGTATGTCACTGTAGGTCTGCGTCTAATACTCCGACGCCGTTTGCGACTCCTGCTCCTGCTGCTGCTACTGCTACTTCTGCTGCTGCTACTAAAGATACGACTATGAACGACACAGACGACAAGCATGGCTACACTCAGAGGAGTTAAATTGTGCGAGCCAGGCCCCGTGGCCCAAGATGGCGTCGCGGGAAGATCCGAAGGAGGCAGCGCCTCCCGTCGTCGCGGCGGAGAAGTCGCTCTCACGGAAACCCATGCAGCGCACGAGCTCAAGAATGGGTCTTCCGGGGCAGCTGCTCGGCCACTACTTGGGGCACAAGTTACGCTTACGTAAAATGCTCTGGAACCAGTGCAACATGAGGCAAGCCAGATCTTGTCAGACATGTCAAGGTAAACATGGTTCTATCAGTGTACTAGATTATGCGTACGACTTGTGGCATATAGGATCATGCAAGTTCCTCTAACCGAACTCGTTGCGTGTGTTGGCTGTTGTGTTCACATGTCAAGTTTGTATGATGTAAACTATAATGTGTATATGTCTGCTCGGACACAGTACGACTTCAGGTACGTATATGTTTTGTATCCATGTCCATAATATGCGCGTGTATGTACACAAGTATAATGTGCGTGATCATCAGCGGTTGTTGTCATTCATTAGTGATGATTCACCGTCTGAGTCTGTGCTGATGTATGTATGTATGTATGTATGTAAGTATGTATGCATGCATGCATGCATGCATGCATGCATGCATGCATGCATGCATGCATGTATGTATGTATGTATGTATCCATGTAACATACGTAGGTAGGTAGGTAGGTAGGGAGGGAGGGAGGGAGGGAGGTAGGGAGGTAGGGAGGTAGGGAGGTAGGGAGGTAGGGAGGTAGGGAGGTAGGTAGGTAGGTAGGTAGGTCGGTGGGCAGGTATGCGCGTATGAATCTGTGTGTGGGTGTGTGTGTGTGTGTCTGCTTGTATCATTCACGTCACTGCCTGTTGAGGCCAGCTCGCATTCCATCCAGCTCTTCGACTGCTGAGCCTCCGAGCACCCAGCTTGTGGAGCACGAGCAGCAGGACCCTCACATGACAAGGGTATCAATCCCGCCATCCCTTCAAAGAGGCCTCCGATAAGGACGACGACTGATGCCACTGCTGTTGCAACCGCTACCACTACTATCAACTACGACTATATGACGTCGACGACGACGACGACTTCTACTACTACTGCTACTACTGCTACTACTACTACTACTACTACTGCTGCTACTACTGCTACTGCTACTACTACTACTACTACTACTACTACTACTACTAGTGGTATGTGTATGTGGATGTCACTGTCTGCGACTCCTGCTCCTGCTGCTGCTACTGCTTCTCCTTTTCCTACTATACATACGACTTTGAAAGCGACTCCTGCTCCTGCTGCTGCTACTGCTTCTCCTTTTCCTACTATATATACGACTTTGAAAGCAACACAGACGACAAGCATGGCTACGATTAGAGGAGTCAAATTGTGCAGCATTACGGGAAAGTGAGTGACGACAACCTGGCAAATGATGAGTAGCATTATCAGTAGCGGCCTTGTTGATCTCGCACTGTTTCTGCCATAAATGGCGTAGCATGCATATGTCGGTTTGCGCACCTGTCTGGGGGAGCGAGGCGACGTGGCCCGGGCCCCCTAAAGGCCTCCTGAACTGCAAGTCGGATCCCGCAGCAACGGCCGAAGGACCAGCCTATGTATTACATGCCGAAGGCCTACAGTGAGGCCCTTTTGGCGGACGAAGTAGACGTACTCGCAGTGTCAAGCGAACCAGTTGCTGTAGTTCAGCGTAGTGCATGAACCTGGCACGAGAAGCCACTGCCACAGCAAGTACTGTATAGTCATACGCTAGCATGTGGTCTAGCATGGCATAATCGCAGTCATTGCCGGCACAGCCGCCATAGTAGCATTCTTCACATTACGAGTGGTCATCCCCGACAGTGTCACAGCACCGGCACCTTCAAAGCCACGATCATAATCAAGAGGCCGGCCTAGTGCCAGCATCGAGTTTGCTGTTGAACGCGCCAACTGCAGCACATGTATCCTTAGTGATCATGTCGCCGCCGTAGGAGGGGAGTAGCATTCGATGTTGGGACAGTCTGTCGAAAACCCATCGTAAATTGACGCTGTCGTTGCAGCAAGCTACTGATGACAGATAGCGGTTGCTGGCAGCAGCCGTGACCTTTGCGTGATATGTTTCGTTATGAGCATTCATGGGCCGGGAGACACAAGCCGCAAGCGAAACAGAGGACCCAGCACACGATGACACTGGCAGCCTCAGCAGCTGTGGTGGTACTTGTCGTTGTTTCTGCTGCTCGCTTTTCTGTTGTGATCTTCTCTAAGATCGGCGGGGTGTTGTAACAGTTCTTGTTCCGCGTGCCGTTCTGTGTGCCACCGTTCTCTCCATAACAAAGCTGGTCATTGAAGCCTCCTTTGGTCTCTCCTGACAGATGGTGCCCATGACACGCGCTTCGTCGTTCCTTGGCATCGACTTTTGGACCGCAGTGTCAGATCCGTGATGCATGCATCGAACCAAGGTTTGTAGGGCCTGGGCCGATCCGGGCAAACTCTGATGGGATCGTGCCATTCCTGCGCATACTCCCCGACAGCGCTCCGATGCAGGCCCGCACAAGAACGACATGCGGGTGACCACTGATCTGTTGGTTCTATTTGGTTTCTTGATAATAGCTTGAGCTGTCTTATTGTCCGAGCATGCGCCAGCGTAAGCAACTGCAGCAACGGCTTTGTTGACTTTGTTGTCGACCAAGCTGGTCTTGATGATTGTATGTTTGGTGATGGCCCGTGATGTAGGCTGGTGAGGCAGAGGGGCTTACATACCAGACATCTGTAGACCCCGAATATTAGGATCCACCATATATAGAGTAATACAAGCGAGCCTTAACTACCGCACACACCGCACTCAAATCTCAAGAATCACTACATAGGCTTGCGTGGTTCTCGCCCATCCATGGCCAATTGCGAGGAGGAGGAAATCGTCTTCTTCCCAAAGAGCTTTTCGGAGGCTTTGGCCTTTCGTTCAGAGGTCGTACCTGCGGCGATGGAGCCGAGTATTATTGCAAGCTTCTGTAAAGCAGTGCTGGGCAGTTTGCTCCCGAAGCAGTTTCCTGCCTCGCGCCTGCCTCGCAGGTGCAGATGCCATCGTCGCGCCTTTCGTGCCTCGGCTGCCCCGAAGTGATTGAACACGTTTGTGTGCGAATTTCGTGGCCTCCGACGATTCCTCTCGAAAGCTTCATGGACCCGAGCCTTCAACCCTCAGTGACCTCAGGTTCCAGCAGATGAGGGCATCCAACTCGGACGGCCTTCTGGCCAACCGCGCTTTCATGCGGGCCGTCGACGCAGCAAGAGCACAGCAGGAGCAACAGAAAGCGGAGGCCGGAGGCCTTTGGCATGTCTGTGGGACTTGGGTCGCATCTCGAGTGTGTGCCGTTCAAAACAGGCGGCAACTCGCTTGCCGGGCGGGGTGAAGCAGCTCGCTCCGCTCTCTTTGAGCCAACTGTCCACGGAGAAGCTGTACGAAGGCGACGGGCTCGCAGTCATACCACCCCAACATGAAGCAGTGACCAACCGCGGCCACAAGCGCCCATTAATTAGTCCGTTTTGAGAGGAAAAGATGTCGACACGCCCAGGTAAAATTGTCATAGCCTTCAAGTTGGGCCACTCGTTTGCACTTGGGCCGTCTCCCATTCCAATAGCTGTACCAAAGCTAGCGAACCTGGACATGTGCCTGTGGGTGCTTTGATGGAAAGGACGACAAGGGGTCTCACAGGGCGGTGGAAGTTGCATGTAGTATAGGATGCCGGTCTACATGTATGCTGCTTTGGGCCGCTAGCAACCGCCGCAACGTGTGCCTCGTAATCGCTTGGAGTTCCAAAGGACTGCTTGTGGACATCAACGCGGACGTCCTAGGCCTGCTTCGCTGGAAGCACGTGAAGGGGGTGCCCAGGACAAGCTTGCGATCTTTCATGTCTTTACTAAATTTACTGTAACTTAGTCGGTTTCGGGCCTGTGGCTTTCGAGCCTGCGAACTGTCAGTGGATCCGCCTTTCTGTCGGGCTCCAGGAAGCTCCTGAAACAGGGTGGCAACTTGGCCAACCTTCGTGTCGAGAAGGCGCAGCGGCGCATGATGTGGGCTCTATAGGAGTTTTTTGTCTCTGGGTTTTTGTCGGGCTCGTGCCGACTTGTCAGCAGCAATTGAGCACCCAGAGCTTTCGGGCGCATGGATGCTATACTGAACCGGAACCGGGCACTGTACAACTGCAGTCTATTGTCCCTGTCGCAGGTGCGGGGACAAAGGCTGACCCTGCGCCTGGAGTGCGCCGAAGTTGCAAAGACCTGTCCGGCTCAGGGTCTGTTCTCATGGGCTTCTGCGACTTTCCGTGGCATCTTTTGATCTCGAGGCATCGGCCTGCCGGGCCAGACCTTCGAAGAATCTGACTACCCGGACATTGTGGCTCGCGTGTACGATTGGGCCTTCGAGCCAAAGTTGCTCGAGGCCTCCGAAGAACTTACTCCGACGGCTGCGACGACACAGCGACTTGGGCGAATGGGCCCAAGAAACGTCGGCGACGGCGAGGGGCTCGCAATCCGCGGGCCCGCGCCCTTCAGTCCCCGCAGATTCCTTCGGCCCGGCAAGTGCGGGCCGCGCCACTCGTGCCAGCCATGAGAGGGTCCTCCTATAGAAGCCTATATGGGTCCAATTGCAGCAGAACCGACAGCAGCCTGCAAGCTGCGCATGCTGTAGCATGGGTGGGCTCGGCATAGTTTCAATAAGCGCCAATTAATTTGCCCTGCGGGGTCTTGGCTGGTGCTGGCACGCACGATCTCACTGAGGGGGCTTGCTGATCCTGCAAAGCAGGGGCCCTCTACAACCGAAGCTGCGGAGAAACACAGTCACAGTCATTTAAAACGCTTGTTTCGTTCTAGTTCTTAGCTGCAGGTACCCAGTTCACTCGCCGCTTTCATATTTCTCAGTTTTGCTTGCCAGGCCGCCCTGCACTACTGGGCGGAGAAGGCAGTTGAGCGAGGGCTGCGCTTAGGACTCTGGGTCGACGATGGCAGAGGAGTCGGGACTAGCAGCGACGGCAGCAATAGCAAACGCAACGGCAGGTCATGTTGCATCTCAATCTGGGCTCTTGTTAGGAATAGTTAGGAATTTAAAACAGGGTACCATGATGGGAGTTGACAGTGCGTGATGTGCTTCTCGTTTTTTGGTAACTTCGAATCAAGCTCCTTAGCACGAACGCATAAAACCCTGCCTGCTACGCCTGCTCGCCCTTCCAGTCGCTTCAAGGCCGGCTGTGCAGAACTTGACTTTGGTGGGAATGCGCAGTTCGTCCGGATCCCAGGCGGTTTTGGGAGTAAGGCTTTGGCACGGAGAAGCTGAAACAACGTAACCGTATCTCCCTTTTTCTCTGGTAACCCATCGGCTTGTTCAGTTTTCTGGGTCAGCACAGAGCCTAGGTCCCTGAGTAGTACCCTTTTGCCCTTTTTAATTTTAGGGCCCCTTACTAAAGCCGAATATTTGTAAGAAGGGTACCCTTATTTTTAAGGGGTTACTGGGGAACCCAGGAGCTACATCTGCAACTAGATATCTCGTTGCATGGCGCCGCCTGGTCTGATGCAGCGGTTGCAGCCTGAACTTAGGCTCGAGTTTGGACTTATTCCGCCATCTACGGCCTGACGCTGACACTGGGCATTACCATTCCATTCCGATGGTGCATCGCCGAGTCAAGAGATTCTATGCTTTGAACTTTGGGCCGTCGTATTTCACAGACATGACCGTGCCAAGTGTACTTCAACTAGTGGCGAGCCATCGGAAGCACAAGATTCACCGTCATGATTATGGTTGTGCCCGGAAAAATCCACCAACATCCCAACTCCCCCGATGCCGCCAGGTGCGCCGGCAGAAAGCGCGCTTTCAAGGTGGCGGATTCGCCTGCAGCCCGGGAGAATGACCGATCATCACCGGCACAGCTACCTAGAGACTCCAATGTTCCTATATACCTTAACTTAAATCATATTATATAGGGATCCTACCATAGTTTTAGGAATATTCCTTAATTAAGGGATATTGGAGTCTCTGGGCACATGAGCGGGCTTCACACGGCCGACGCGGCAGCGCATGGAACGTCTGCATGCGCTTCTCCCTCGCGAGCGGAAGCCGTAACCAAGGGCTGGTGATGCTGAGGAGGCGGCAGCTGCAAGATCTGCCCAGGGAGCCCAATACCCCTTAATTAAGGAAAAAACCTTAAACTATAGGGGCTGTAATATTATGGTTTAAGGTAAATTCCTGAATTAAGGGGTATTGGGCTCCCTGGGTGTATCTTTACATTTTGAGCTTTCGTTTTCAGGGGACATGCCGGGCCTCTCCGTGAGACTCACGTTCATCTCGACTTCCGCATTGCTGCATAACACGCCAGGGCGACAGCCCGGCCAAGAAGACTGCGACCATGAAGTCAGCCAGGTCCTTTGAGATCAGAGGCCCTGCCTCGGCGCGCGGTCATCTCTGAGGGTCTGCATTTGGAGCGAGTGTCTTCTAGCACGGTGTGTCAATGGTGCCTAGCAACCAGAGCAGCCCAATCTATGGGAGTTCCGGGCTCAAGCCCAATGCTTCAAACACAAAGCTCTGAACCATAGATAAACAAGGCCCTAAACTGAAAAGCCTCTGAAGCCCCAAATGAAGAAATAAGGTCGAGATGGAGCTCATCGATCCCACTCCGAACATCGAGGCGAGTTGGAAAGCGTTTGGACGGCCTCGTCTTGTGACGGGCCCTTGGGGGCAGGGCAGTGTATCAGTGTATCTATATAACACTATAAATCTTTATGAGACGTATCAGGGGCTTTGGCCGAGTGTTACATAGCTTCCCGCCCTGAATATTGAATCGGTGGCGTGCACCTTCTTCTGCCGGGAAGCTCTAGACTGCAGCAGTCGCAGCCACCAGGAGCCATCGAGCCTCCATTAGCAGTTGTTACCATTCTCGAATTCACCGACGGCTGCACAGCGGACTCCTCATGGGACAGCCGGTAGATGCATGTGTACATAAGCCACATATAACATGACAGTGTATGATATGATAGGCGATGGTAGACGATGACATGAGGTGGTATGATGAAATATGACGACATTGCTATTAACTGTACCGTATGCAAATCAGAAGATATCCCAACACCTGGAAGCCACTTCGAGGACGCCAAAGCCCACTTGGTGAGGACGAGCGCCACAGTAGGCCTGGGCGTGCGTACGACGGCTGCTGCTTGCAGCTGCTCTTATAAAAGCAACTTCTTGCTCCTGCTGCTGCTGCCATTGCTCCTGCTCCTGCTCCTGCTTCATCGGAGCAAGGTCCTGCAAAGCCCCACTGGGGCAGTAGGTTTAGCGAAGTTTGCCTGGACCAGCTGCAGTCCTGGTCCCGTGCACCACCGAAAGTGCCTATAGCTGCTTGGTGTGCAGAAAACAAGTGGTTGAGCCCGCTGTGCACACCGACGTACCGGCTCAGCGAAATTGGTCCGGCGCTCATTCTGATTTTGAGTCCTTGAACTCAGTGGGCCAAAGCATGTCGTACAGCGACTTGTTTGCGGTGGGAATCGGTGGGATCAAGCCGAATTGCCGAGGTGGAACCGGCACCGAGCTGTATTTCCGCACGTTGAGGCCCATCGGCTGGTGTATGGCCACCTGCAGAAGCTCATATTTCATGCAAGTAGGCCGGTTCTAGGTGCCGCACTTGAATCAATGAAGGGACTTCCTGTGCCGCAGGAATCTGGGTTTCATCTTCGCCTACATGGTCACGCGCCTAGCTGGAACCGGCCGCATGTGTCCTCATCTTCCTGGACAGAACTGTCGCCGGAAAACCTGACACATCGGGGGTCGATACTGATGTGCCGGTGATGAGAAGGATGAGTGAGGAGTAGGACGAAAATAATTAGTAAGGATGAGGATGACCACGATGCACTTTCTTGCTTACAGCCGTATTGCCCGATTCTCCGCATGCCCTGTTGACCACTTCGCTTCCCTCCCAGGCAGCCGCGACAGGTCCTTTGGTCGCCTTCTGCCTGCTGGGCAACTTTGGACCAGACACGGGCCAGGCCACATGAAGAGGGAGCTGAGTCGGCTTCGTTCAGTCGCATGCAATAGCCGATTCGATAGCTGATTCGGAGTTGAGGACCGGTCTTCCAGCAATCTGTCAGCCCCCAGTCACTCAGCTCCTCGCCCAGTTCCTGCTGAAGACGACCATCGGCAACCTGGGCCAGTTCCTTCAGAGCGCTTGCTGAAGTGCAAGGGGCTGTCGGTGATGTCGTGCAGCTATCCCCAAAGGCTCTGTGCCACGATCATATCGTGCATCACACTGCATATGGTGACAGTAACATACAGTAACCCTGTCCCTATATCCAAGGGTCCCCTAAAACCCCTAAAGCCCACCAACTCTCCGTGAGTTGTTTGGGCGGACTCCCAAGGCGAGTTTGTGGAGGCGGACATCATCGATCCCTGGAGCACGAGCCTTACGGGGCCAAAAACATTGGGCTTTTCTATATGGCACACAGATGCACTCGACTTTTGGGGTATCGCAGTCGTACTCGGAAAGCGGAGCAGTATGTGGCCACTCACAAAAAGCAACGGTCGAAAACCGTGGTGCTGTTGTTGCGACGGGGGTTGTTTGATTTTCATCATCTATAGCAGCAGCATCGTCATCGTAGTCATATCATCATCACCAGTAGCACCAATGTAGTCGTCGTCATCGTTCATCATCAGCAGCATCATCATGATTATCATGGTAATCATCGTCAACATCAGCCTTGCCAGGACACGATAGGGATCAACACCAGCAAAGAAAGTCACGTGCACTCGCTGAAAGAAGCGGGCTTTGATGCAGCAGCAGAGGTGAGGGCATGTATATCGCCGGAAGGATGGTGAGAGATTTCGGGGCCGGCCGCAGTACATGTTATAGAATAAGAAGCATGCTCAATTTAGGCCGTTCAAGAGCGGAGCATGGTGTTGGGCCATCCCTGCCACCCCGTTTCGTCTAGAATCCTAGCTCCTGTCGGCTAAAGCTGAAACTTTAGGTTCATGACGGTGGGTCCGGCGACATCTAATCTCAACTGTCTCCTTTGCGAAGCGAGTTTCTCAGGTCGAGTTGTGCGGCTGGGCTGTGAAGGTCCCGCCTCCCTGCCTTAGTGAGAGATTCAGAAGATGCGGGGGTTGCTTGGTACGTCTTGAGTTCTAGTTACTCTAGTTGCCTAAGAATTTCCAGGCGACTTGAAAGATAGCACAGTGTTACCTGGTGCTGGTGCTCCGATGTAGCTGCTCTAACATGCTGATGTGAGAACGGGCTAAAGCCGAAGCTCGTTGCGGTTCCTGCCTCTCGGACCTCGAACCCACAGATCCTCAGACTTCAGCTTGAGAGGGCACTCAACCAAGCAGAGTCCTTTCCCCGGCTTCGCGCGTCTAGCGCGATGTCGATCGTTGAACTTGACACTGGGAGATGGCTGTGTTTAAGCCTGAGAAATCTTGCCAAGCCCATCTGCAGTTCTATGAAAGAAGTTTAGGGCCCATGACAGCCATGATGAACTGTCAACCCTAGATATGTCCTGCGCCCAAAAAGCCCTGGCACCTCAAAGTACTGAAACTAAGATGCTCAACCATCACAGTCTACCACAGTATTCTAGCAGAATGCAGAATGTCAGAAGTACGGTTGAAGCATATTATATCCAGGCACCGAAATTCACAACCTGACGGGTATCTTCGGCCTGGGCCTTAGAATGCCGCGAGCCGGATCCTCGGAGATCTTCTTGGGGAAGCCCGGATCTCCCAAGGGACCACCCAAGACTTATCTACAATGTACTGTAAGCTACTGAAGATATACTAAAGCATGCCAGGATATACCATGGTAGACCATGGTGTCTTAAGGGGTTTAGCGCTTAGGGCAACATGATAGTTGGCGTGTCTTGCTGTTGCTTCTGCATCGATAACGGCCTTCGCACTAATGTAGTGCCAGTAGCAAAGTCCAGGAGGTTGGTATCTACATTAGGCCCGGCTAGTGAATCGAAAAAGCTTCGCTATCCGAGTCGCCTCCAAACTTGTAACAAGGAGAGTCGTACTTGAAATGATTTGTAACGCTGATACTAGCCGACGCCGAAATTACTGATAGCTGCAATGTAACACATCGGCGCAACACCCAGGAGCCCTCATTCCTCACCCCGAAACCCCAAGCCCTGAACCGACTGTCAAGGCTGGCTGGACTTCGTTGCCGTGGCGATTTTCTTGATCTACTGCATCTGGGCTCGTTTCATCCAGATACCGAGGAGCGGACCAAGGGAGGGCGGCTGGGCCTGTTAAAGTTCGGGGTTCGGGTTTAGGCTGTCCTAGGCGATTTCAAGGGGGCGCTTGAGGGTAATACTATCCTACACTATATTGACGATTTCTCTCTCTCTATATCTATATATATATATATGTATATTTTGTGCGGATATAATTGAAATCGGCTCTTGGCTGGCAGTACGGCGGCAACGGACGAGCTGGAGCAAGTTACGCAACTTGGCCAGGGCATTCGGGTTCAGTTTTAGCGTGTCGGGTTTGGGCTGTGGGTCATTGTAGGGTCAAGGCTAAATGGCTATAAGGTCCAGGGTATCGAGATAGGGTTTAGTTGCTTGTTCCAATCCTTGGTGGATCGGAGGCCTCGCGATTATTCTGTGATGATCGATGGCCTGCCAGCGCCCAAGAGTTCTTTGATATCCAAGCACCTTATCAGAATGGTCGCATTCAAGTTTAGGGTTTATGGCACACAGAAACACGCACACCTATGTCACTTCCGGCTTCCGAGCATCCCGTGGCTGATCCGGGCTGATGCCTGGCGCTTGCAGGCCTTACAAGATCGAGGACCAAAAGAACTACGAGAAGCCATCCCCTCAATGTGTGTTCAGCCATGGATATGCATACCCACAGGCTCCTCAGCAGTTCCATTTCGGGATTCCCTTATGGGATTCTAAAAAATAGCCACCAAAAGGAGCCACTTAGGCCTATGCATATGCCATGCGTTACGACAGGCGGTTGTCCAGGCGAGGCATCTGGCGCTTAGCATTCGAAACTGCTCGCGGCATCGAATCGATGAACACGCGCTAACTCTGCCTGCGTTGCAACTTTCCCAAAACTGTTGCTCATCAGGCTGCAAGAAACTTTGAGAATCGCTGCATTGCGCTAGCTTCACTACCTGCCGATCGGCTTTCCAACTTCCTATCTCTGGGTATGCACATGAAGCATCGTGCCGAGCCCGCAAAGGATGCACGAGCAGTCGACCGAGTCCAACTCGTCCGATGTTCTTTGCCCGGCGTTCAATCGGTCCGAGGCTGCTGGAGGAGCACCTCGTCAGCCGAATCAAGCATGCGCGAAGCCGGGCTCCCAACGAGAGTTATTACGGGTCGAATTCTTAGCATATAGGATTCATTGCGGTGCAACAGCACGGCTTCAGGATTGTATCAGAAGGGTTCCCAGAAGAGATCCGTGGGAAGGGTGATGCCGTCTGGCATGCAGTACTCGAACATTTCGTGCAGTTCCCGTGGCGATACCCAGCTCTTCAACAAACTGAACATGACGAGCTTTTAAACGACCGACGACAGGCGGATTGTCGACATCGTAATGGCCTTCAGCACCGGGGCTTTTCATGAAATCCTGCGCAAACAGAAATGAACAGAATACCACCGCAGCAAGACGCCACGAATCCTCATGAAGCATGCTGCGACAGTAGGGATCGCAAGGAGATCTTCGACCTGAATATCATGGCCTTTTTCTGTGGCACACTCGCCCGAAATCTTGTGCGAACTGTTGCACCTCCACCAGTCGACTTAACTTCCAACCAGAAGGAGCAGGACACTTTACACTCGAATCCCGGTTCTACAGTGTTTATATAAGAGTGTTTCAGCATTTCAAGGGCTCTCTAAGAGGGTTCAAAGGCTTGCATGTCCTTGTGTTCAGGACCCTACTGTCAAGGGCCTATGTTGGAATCCATCGTTGTCTGGAACTCCCATGCGATTATTGAAGCCCTGCACACTGCGCCACATCTTAAAGCCTCGAACCATCTCACAGTCACTGAACATGTTTGGTCTCGGCAACGCGCCACACCCGCCACACCCAGCCAAAGCATTAATTACTGCTGCTACTGCCACTGCTAGACGACCACTACTACGACGACGACGACGACCACCACCACCACCACCACCACCGCTACCACTACTCGCAGCTGTTTCTTTTGCGAAGAGGGTGCTCATTGTTGGTTTGCTACTGGTGCTGTGGTGCTTTAGGGAAGGGGGGGTCGGAGTCATCATGTCACCATGTATAGTCCCTACATAATAATCGGATACTCTACTCCAAACCCTGTTCAGGCCCTATTCTAATCATTACGGCGCCAATGGCACAGAACCCCCCATAGTATCCCGCTGGACCCCCTTACAGCTTCAAAGAAACCCCTTGAAGGAAGCCTTCTTCCAAGATATTCTAGCTATGAAGGCCGTTGCCTCCTCCAGTATCCCTTCATGGAGGCTCCTTCAGAGCTTTAAAGCACCACAACCCTATACACCCTAAGCCCCAAAACCAGGCGGAAGGGACAAAGGTGAAAAAAAAACTCTAAACCCTAAGCGCGAAAAAGCCCTAAACCCTTCAAAATGTAAATTCAAAACCGTCCAACTTCAAAAAGGCCCTGCTTTGTTTGTCTTCTTCTAGGCCGTCGGCCGGTCGGCCACGAGCTGCCGGAACCGCAGGCCGCGGCCGGGTCTCTTCCTTTGGAGAGCCGCAGCTTAAGTTGGGTTTAGGGTTTAGGGTTTAGGGTTTAGGGTGTCAAAGTTGGGTTTAGGGTTTAGGGTGTCAAAGTTGGGTTTAGGGTTTAGGGTTTAGGGTGTCAAAGTTGGGTAGCATATTAGGATAAGGGTACCCAGTGGTGATATAAAGGGCAGCTTAATAAGTTGGGTAGCTGTAAGTTCTCAAAGGGCAGAACCTACAATGAAAGCAGGTTTCTAGCAGTTTACGGTAAGTTGGGTAGCTTAGGATAAGGGTACCCAGTGGTGACATAAAGGGCTGTGTCCTGGTGGGGGTGTTTGGGGGTGGCAGGTGGAGGGGGGGCGGGGCGGCAGTTTGAGAGCTCGAGTTGGGAGTGGGATGTGTCACGAAGATATGGAGCTTGTGGATTGAAATTTCTCATCAGCTCCGCAAGCGTCGGAAATCTTTCGGAGCAGAAACGCCGTGGCATCTTGATCGTTAACTCGATGTTCACACCTCTTGGCTTGGCAGAAAATGACCCAGCCTTCCTGATCTTCTGCAGCATGAGACCCTGCAGGTAATTACACCTCCAACTAGGGCAAGATTCAAAAATTCTCCGCTGCCTGTGCACATGAGAATGTTACTGTAAGGGTGGCCGCAACCCGATGCAGCAAGCTGGCAAGGTTTGTGAGCTTACACTTGTCCGCGACTACAATGGCAGGCTGCACCTGCATGTGGTGAAGTTCTCGGAAGAGCAGTTGGTAATAGATGGCTTTATACGGCATTGTCTGGATTGTATAACGGGGGGTTGTAGAGAGCACGAAGGATCTGCAGGGCATAGACCAGTAAACGTAGGTCTCTTGTTGTCACGACGCAGCACGGCTTCAAGAAGCAGATCTCTGAGTTCGCGGCATCCGGCCAGCTCCCTGCTTGGTAAACTTCAGTCGGTGTGTCTCGACGAGCTGACCCATTGCAGGCTGCATGAGCTGAAAGATCGAGCAGAGCTGGTGCTTCGTCGAGGGCCTGGCCATGCAGTCGTGACGCGGGTAGAGCACTCCCAAGCACGAAACCCTGAATCCCGAAACCCTAATATACCCCACAGACGGACGATTTCGTTCATCTGGAATCGAGGCACTGAGATCGCAGAGAAGTACAGCGAGAAGTCGGGGCAGCTCGGCAGGATCGATCAAAAGGAGGGCCCAACTTAGTGGTACCAAGTGGCACCAATATACAATTGTTGTTTCTCTGTCTCCCTACGCGACATACATTGTCTATCTATATAAAATAGATGTACACAGCTGGAGGCATCTGTGGTTCAATACCTGTAGTACATGGACTAGCATCTCTCAACTTCCCATCTTTTTACCTTGATCCTTCGAGCTGACTCTGAGCCGGACCTGAGCAGAACCTTTGAGGCATCCTGGCTTTGAGGGATTAGGGTTTAGGCTTTAAGGGTTTAGGGTTCGGGGTTTTAGGGTTCAGGGTTTGGTTTTAGGGTTTAGGGGGTTCAGGGTTTAGGGGGTTTTGCGGGATTAATGTTCGGCCTGGATCCTTGTATCCAGGGCTGGGTTTATAGGGCCTGGGGAAAAAAATGTCCCTAAACACCCTACATGCTAAACCCAAAACCTGTAGCTGTCATGCAGTTGGAACAGGAGCCCCCCCCCCTCTAAACCCTAAACCCTAAACCTAAACCCTACGCCCCAAACCCTAAACCCTAACAGAAAAACAAAGAAAAAAGCGGCTCAGGAAACCCGGGCGCCTGGACAAACTCAAGGGCCGATTGGAGCCGCGGCCTCGGTCTCCTCAGGGACTCCCACGCGTTCCCTTGGGCAGCGATCCTTGCATTCGGAAGGTCCGAATAGATCGAAATGACGTATGAAAGGGGCTTGACTGCGATTTTTAAACAGCCTTGCAGGCTTGATCAGATATTAAAGGGAAGTGTCATGCAGGTTACGAGGGGTTCAGAGCATTGCATCGGCGTTTTCAATCGGGTCGAAGGGTCCCGTGAACTAAAAGGGTTTGTCCTGCTGTTAGGGATTCTAGTGCTTCAACTATGGGTGCTAGGGTTCTGCATCCCGATCACTCCTTGCGGGGAGTGTTCCCTGATTAGGGGTATTGGAACTTCTCAGAACTCTCAGAAGAGAAAGGGGCTCGAGGGGGGGGCGGGGGGTTTGGGCTCAGGGCTTGGGGTTTGAGGGAGGTTCGGGCTCAGCGATACTCCAGCTGATACGCCACCTGCCACAATCACGAAGATTCGAACTGGTTGGGTTAGCTCAGGTCATGACATGAAATCCCGAGACGGCACATCCTCCAACTTCACTTCTGCCCACACGACCCAAACGGGAGAAGAAGAGCAGCTTGGAAGCATGATCCTTTCAATGCGGAGCTCTTGTCCCCCCCACGAGGAAGCTGAACTTCAAGCTGGGAACGAAGCTGGAAGCCGAAGAGGAGCTGCCGGTCGCCCGAGCCTAAACACCGGCGGTCAGCTGTTTATCGATGCTCGAGTGTTGCAAGCATGAAGAACGACGGTTGAGCTTGGCAAGATGGTGATGATGACGACGATGATGGAGATGATACGATGACGACTGCGGCGGAGCCGCTGAGGATGAAGTTTTTGCTGCTGGTGGTGGTGGCGGCAGTGGTGATGGCGATGGCGATGGTAGTGGTGCTGGTGTTGGTGCTGCTGCGGATCATGACAATGAAGAAGAAGATGCTGATGGTGATGGTGATGACGATGTTGGTTAGGACGATGGTGGCATCGGTGGTGCTAGTTACCGGTGACAGCCTTGATAATAAGTGAGGCGATACTGAGTGTGGACGATGGTGCTGTTGCGGTTGCTGCTGCTGCTGCTGCTGCTACTGCTGCTGCTGCTCTTCAGTTTCATGATTTGTTAATAATTATTGGTATTCTCATTACCGACATCCGCATCGCGAAATCGATGGCAAGACAGACTGTAAAATCATCCTTTCCACTATTGCGTTCACTGTCATTCTCGTCCCTATTTTCGCATCCTCGTCCTCCTCGTGATTACGATCCGCCATCGTCGCCGTCATCATAACTCTTATCTTTCCAACATTCAGATGCCTTGAACTCATCTCAAGTTTCAAGCTTCAACTGCAGACAGCCTCAATCCGCGATTCCCGAAGCCCAAACCGAAGTTTTCTGGAGGTGCGGGCATATGCCATCCTCCAGTGCACTGAGGACGTATCTTGGCGGCCAGAATTCTTCACTCTGTCCCCAAGTTACTTCAAATCTTTGGCTTCGGGTTCTTCATGGAGGACTTGTCAAGAGCGCAGCACGCAGGGCCTCTCACTCGCAAGACTCCAAAGCACAGGTCGCCAACTTGCTCTTCGACTACCGCGCCAGCCTGAGTCGCTGATGCGCAGCACTCGCAGCGTCGCAGGTGTGGTATACTAGAGTTCATCCATCGAATCTGACAGGTTTTGCAAACTACAAGCTCTTCAAGTGCTGCCAGTTCAATGCTAGGCGCTTTCAAGGTGCCGGCCTCAGTTATGGGCTTGGATCTCTGGTTTGGTTGCCTCTCCCTGGAAGCCAAGGCAGTAAGTCACATAAGTGACAAGTCCTCTTTAGCCCCGAAAACTTCGAAGCAATCCTCTAAGCAGTTCAAGATCCATGCTGCTTAGCAATCATGAACCCGTCCCGAGTTGTAAAGGCGGCGCCAGGTTCGGGACCCGGATAAAGACACCAAAGAATCATCTTCATCGGCTTAGCACCCTCGCCAAATTCTCTCTGGCGAAAGCTTTGGCCTGCTGTCAGGCAATGAGACTGGACAAGCGTAGCCAGGCAAGATTCTGAGGTTCCACGAGGTGCACAAATAAGAAGGCATGACAGCATCCATCGAACCGACCCCCTCAGCGTTGAAAGATGCACTTTGGGGGAGAGCATGTCCATGCTGCACGGATTCCTCATGCTTCGATCCCGCCGGATCATGGCCGGCCGATGATGTCACCAGATCTGCTGGGACGTGGAAGGCGCGTTGTCTCAGAAGCCGAGGTTAGTCGAGGGCTTCATCACCACTGTAGACAACTGTAGACCATAAAACTTCAAGTGCTACTTGATCGTACTTGATCGAAGACTACATTATATTGATTTCGGGCTCTGCAGGCTTTGGGGCAGGCTTCGGTGTCACTCTCTCGGCGTCCATCCTTGGAACTCATTCAGAGCAGGATTTTCACGGCTCAGAGCTTTTTGAGATTTCGAATCACCCTTTGCCATGACCCGAAACTCTACAGTAGTGGCCTGCAGATACCCTAAACTGCAGAAAAACCAAAGCAGTAAGCAACCGCCCACCCTAAATCCCCTAGCAAGGGAGGCTCCGTGGGAACCCAGCAAGCCAGATGTGCTCCGCCTTTGCAAAATCCGAAGCCTCCGCCCAAGTTATTGTTGACCCTGATATATTAGATAAAGCAATGTACACGGTAATATCATATCATATTGTATGGTACTATATTCTGACAATTCCATGCAGTGGCAGAGACCAAACCAACAAAAGCACTCTGTTTGTGTCGTAGGCTGACCTGGCTGCTGTGCGTGGCCTTGGCCGCTGCAGATGAGTGCGCACTCCGAAGAGACTGCGCGGCCTGCCAGGATCCGCTGTGACCGATAGCTACTCATAGGCCCCTAAGTAGTTCCTTTTTGGGACTACCTTTATAGGATTCTAAATATACACCATAAAGAGGAACTACTTAGGGGCCTATGCGTAGCGGAAAAGGGCCGGCAGTAGGGCTTTCACGTTCCACACCCTCGCATCAGCCAGCAGGATCGAATGCAATCTCATAATTTCCCATACAAAGGGGCTCATGAGCTCGGGATTCAGATCTTGTTCCTGAGTTTCCGTCAGGAGCGTTTTCCCGCCTGCACGTGGTGTAGCAGCTCGGGTTTTTGCGCCTCCACGCCGGAGCCGATCACTGCCTACCTGCTGGCGAACCCAAATCGGATGCAGCCCGCCCGTGAATTTGGAGCTGTTAGGGTTTGGGGACTAGGGTTGTTCTCTCCGGGTCTTTTTTTGCTCGTGCTTGACGGGGTTGACAGGATGTTGTCGCGACAGCAAGGTGAGGTGACCCAGTGGCTCTAGAAGACAGATGGTAAGCACGATCCCCACACAGCACCATTTTCCTAGGTCAACCGTCATGTTTCAGTTCTACCGGGCTTCCGAACTTCGACAGAGAGAGGGGGATCTTGGAACTGTGCTGTTGTACCCAGGACTGTGCGGTATTACGCACTGCTGTCGTACTCGACTGCCGAGTTCGAAGCCAGCTTTCCTGATGGCTTTCGTGCCCGATCGTGGCTTGGCGTTGTTAGGATTCGATCATGAGTACTACTGTTTCTGTATAGTAGTACCACTAGTACTACAATACCATGGTTGCTGTCATAAGTATCATTGCTGCTGTGCATTTGCCATCAGCATCGTCGTGGGTTGCGCCCTTTCATGACAGGTGCTATTACGCTTTGGTGTAGCCTTTTCTCCTCTTGTCTTTCTCCTTTTCTTCCTCGTCGTGCGTCGCTTTGCACTTGGGGGAGAATTCTGTAGAGCTGACAGGTGAGTTTAGACTGCAATCCAAGTAAATCTGACTCTACAATAATTCCAAGACAGTCCATTCCCAGGAGCTTCCTTTTCCTCAATGACACCAGCTGTGGCCTCTGGCTGAGTGGCCGGAGCTCCTGTTTTCTCGACCATCCGAGCGATCTCCCTAACTGGTCCCCCTGCAGCCTGGCAACGAGATGTGCAGTTGTAGCACAGGGGCCTTGGAGATTAGAATAGGGTTTTGGGGCATATGACAGTAGATGATACTCTGGTTATAATCAGGAACCCCAGGTGCTTTAGAGCATCAGAGAGAGATCTCTGCTTGAGGAGTAAAGCGTTTGAGACTGACTGCTGCAGTGTTGCACTCAAGCGAACGCACAGTTTAGGAGAATTCAAGCAGCTTGCCCATGGGCCCCTAAGTAGTTCCTTTTTGTGGTTTATATTTAGAACCCTATAAGGTAATCCCAAAAAGGAACTACTTAGGGGCCTCCGGCCTGAATTGAGGGAACCCGTTTGCACACCAGCACAGCATTTTGGAGGATCTCGAAGATTGTCCTGTGCAAGAAAAGGCCACGAGGAACAATGGGCAGCAAGCTTGAAGATCACACTCTCATGCTACATGTTCCTGGTTTCCTGGATGATGGCTTCATGATATGCTGTTATATTGATTGTGTCTGATGACGATGGCGACGATGATAGTCACAGCTGATGTTGGCTCGTATTGATGTGGGCAGCGCTATTCTGTTGCTGAACCATCGTCCTGAGTCTGTCAGCATCGCATCGGAGATGCCCAGAACAGAAGTGTCCTAAGGCCACGACCTTTCCATCTCCGAGTGCTTGGAGGCCGACACTAGCGTGACGCATCGCGGGAGTCCAAACCCGTGCTGGGTTAGACGGAAAAACTCAGAAGAGACTGTGTAAGACCTAGATCGTGACAGGGTCTGCTCCAGGGAGAACGTCAAGAACATGATTTCCTTCTCAGAGCGGCAAAGTATGGCAAAGCCATGTGCAGGTGCAGCACGAGCACGGTGGCTGCGGTTATTGCCTCGGCCCCGATGGCGGATGCCTCCCGGGAACGAGAAGTGGCAAGGCTTCGGGGTTCGATGTGGGGACACGGGGCATGCGGTTGTGGCGTGTAGGGCAGGGGCTATGCGGCTACTCTTGCTGTCAGGTTCCTGGTTGATGTTGAGAGCCCATCGAAACTGATGCTTGTGCGCACAAGGTTCTTATAGGGCTCTTGGGTCCTGATTCAAGGGTGACTCGATGCCCGGTGCTTGCGGATTGCTTCAAGCACCCGCTCTCACACCTTGAGGTTCAGAGTTCAGTCAGCCACGATCTTGGGGTTGGTCTATAGAAGCGAGACGGAGAGAGAGTTCTTGTGCTGTGCTGCGGCCCCCAAGGGGAAGAGTTCGACTTGATCAAGCGAGCATAGCCCTAAACCCTCGCCCGAAGTCTAGCGCTGGGAGCAGTTAGAAACAAGGAGCAAAAGCAAAGATAACTTTACACACACACACAGAGACACACAGAGACACACACACACAGAGACAGAGACACACGCGCACACAGAGACACAGAGACACACCAGCAAAATTGAAGCCTAAAGCCAAGAGGCTCTCTTCCACCAGCGCGGGGATAGCCCAAGCTGCGCGGCGCCGGGCAGTGAGGAGCCTTTTCAGCCCCAGTGAGGGGGTTCTGCTTCATGTGGGGCTCCGCATATCTTTTTCAGAAATAGCGCTCCCCTAGAGTCCCTATAGTGACGATATGGGCAGTGCTCTAAATTATGGTCCCGTTTTAGATCCCCAAAATAGTACGGCACCCGTATAAAAGGGATCCCTAAAAGGGACCCTGCTTTAGAGAACTACCCATATGTTACAACACTCCCACACCCTAGTCTAATTACTCAGGCGCCTGTAATGAGTAGCCGTGGTGTTGTGGACCTCGGCGGGTGTTCCAGGGAATTCAAGTTCCGGAGCCTGCCTTTTCATTCTCCTGGGGGGGGTTTTCCCATGCCCTGAGTTTCGGCTGTAGGGACTACGCAACTGCAGGTTTGAATCGATTCCCGGGCCAAGGGTCGATTTGACGTTTGCGTTGCATGGACGGCCTTGAAACGAAAAACGAGTGCTCCACGAATTTCAGCAACTACAGGTACCATGCTAGATATGCCATTGCTGCAAGCAGCCTAGGATCACGCCGTTAGTTCCATGGTTATGCCACCAGCTTGCGTGTTTGTCTTTCATGTTCGTGCATAAACAACTTACATATCTCTCTACCTTCACAGGCATTTTTCTTTCCAGTTCTAGTGCCATTGAGATTGGCAGGTACGAGAGAGAGCAAGGTAGATCATTGTTTGAGCAGGCAGGGTGCAAGTTGTACATATAATGTAATGTAATATAATATAATACAATATAATACAATATAATACAATATAATACAATATAATATGATAAAACATAGTATAATATAATACAATATAATAACAATAACAATAATAATAATGACAACAACAATAACAATAAC